GAAGTCCTATTCGAAAGCGCCGTTCCTGAAGGAAGTCCCGGGCGGGCGCCCACGACGGGCGGGCGATCCCCTGACGGGCGGGTCGGGCGGGTGGGACATTCAAGCGGGATGCCTGAGTATGGCGAGAGCGCGATTACTAAGTAAATTGTAACGACGTCCTTGGCGCAGCGTGATTCCTGAGCGCCGAACGCGCGATTTCTGTATAAATTGCATGGAAGTCACAGGCGAGAGCGCAATTCCTAAATAAAGTGTAAAGGGCTCTCTGGCGGGAGCGGGGGTTTTGATTAAACTGCGAGGAAGTTCTGATTCAATTGCGAGGAAGTCTCAAGCGGGAGCGCCGTTCCTCAGAAAATTGTGAGGAAGTCTCAAATGGGAGCGGGGGTCCTGACTAAATTGCAAGGGTGTCCCAGGCGGGAGCACCGATCCTGAGTAAATTGTGAGGAAGTCTCAGGAGCGGGAGTCCTGAGTAAATTTGGAGGAGGCCTCAAGCGGGAGCTGTTGTTGTCGTAATCCGGGGGGGCCAGGCGCCCAGTTCGAGCACCAAGACTTTCCCTGTCAAAAAAAAGTGCGAGTGTCGAGGGGCACACTTTGGTGGAGAAAAAACAGTATGCACTGGTGAAGGGGGATCAGCAATAAGTATTCTTCAGAAATGAAAATTCAACAACGATCATTTTACCCTCATGCGCGATGCTTCCACACGCAGCATGCGACCATCATGAAAACCATCCCCACAATGGGGGATTATTGTTCTATCGCGGGGCTCCGTTATTCCCATTCTCAGATATCCCGCCCTATGAGGTCTTGCAAACACCTCCTCCGACGAATTTCAACATATCCCGCCTTGAAAACACATGCCCGCGCACTGCTGCGCCGATACCGCCAGTGGAGCCCCAGCCAAGGGTAAAGCACAAGAAAGTATCGAGCGATAAGATTGGCTTGGTGGGGATGGGGGCTGCAGGCGGCGAGGCAAGGACCTGGCCCTGAATAGAGAAGGAGGAAGTCTCGAGCAGGGGTGCTGTTGATGCTGGGAGCGGCGCCAATGCAGAAGAGAGTAGGCCGCTAGTCCAGCGTGAAACAACATGAGGTCTCGAGCGGGAGCGCTGGTTCTGTTGGGACGGCGGCTGTCGGCGGCGAGGAAGAACATAGCCTTGAGAAAGAAGGGAAGAAGCATCGAGCGGGAGCCGCGGCGGTTTTGTCGGGACGGGGGCTGTCGGCGGCGAGGAACAGCACCGTTTCCAAGAGAAAGGGAGGAATCCTTGAGCGGGAGCGTTGCTCTTGCTGGGGGCGGCGCCAATTCAAAAGAGAGTTGGGCGCCAGTCCAGCGTAATACGGAACGAAATCTCGGGCGGGAGCGCTGGTTTTGTTCTGGAAAAATGAGGAAGTCTCGAGCGGGAGCGTTGTTTCTCCTGGGGGCGGTGCCGATGAGAGAAAAAGTAGCACGCCAGTCCAAGGTAAAACTGGAAGAAATCTCGAGCGGGAGCGTTGGTTTTGTTGGGGCGGCGGTTTTCGGCGGCGAGCAAGAGCACCAGCTCTGGGTAAAAAAACAATCTCGAGCGGGAGCGTCGTTGTTGTTGGGGGGCCGGTTTTGGCGCCCCCCAAAACCGCTCGAGCGTGAGCCTCATTTTCAATGAAAATGTAGCTGGCGCCGAGGCGAGAGCGCCAGGGCGGCTGGGGGGTCCAACCATAATAATTATTCAATAATTAACACTCAACGACAGCAGCAGCAACAACAATAGCAACAACAATCACTTTCCCCTCATGCGCTATATTTCCACATGCCACATGCATACATCATGATAACTATCCCCATCTTAGGGGGAATATTGCCTTAGCGCATGGGGGCCCGACATAACCACACCCAGGACTCCCGCCCAAGGAGATCTCGCGAGCATAATCGTGCGGAAGTCCAGAGCGAGAGCGTGATTCCAATTGGGGGCATGGCGCCGCAATGAGTTGTGAGAAAAATCCACCTGAGAGCGCCAGGAAGGGAGGAGGGAGGAGACACGCGGGAGGGAGGGATAGAAGCAGGAGTACAAGCGGCAGCACTAGACGAGCGGGTCGGCAGACCCTGACGGGCAGGTCGGGCGGGCGAGCCTGGACGGCCAAGTCGAGCGGGCGGGTCGCTGAAGCGTCAATCCATCATGGAGGAAGGCTCGAGCGATAGCGCGATCCCAAGTAAATCGTGAGGAAATCTAAAGCGAGAGCCTGACTCCTGAGTGTCGAGGGCGCGGCGTATGAACCAATTGCAAATATCTCGCGAGAGCGCGATTCCTGGACAAAGTGTGAGGAAACCCCGCACGAGAGCACGACTTTGAATGAGTTGTGATGAGATGTCAGGCGGGAGCCATTGTTGTGGTAAGTAGGGGGCCAACAACCCAGCCTGAGGCATCAGGCTTCACCTTGTAAAAAACTGGGTGCGAACCCCAGGAGGGGCACGTCAATTGGAAAACCACAACGTGCACAGGAAAGGGGGGATCAACAGCCACTATCCTTTAGATATGTGAGCTCGGGGAAAACATCAAACCATCCTTGGATCCTCGAGTTGTCCCTCCCTCCTCCCTCGATGACCAGTGTCCCACGACCTGCTTCTCCGAATCACAGCTGAAGCCGCCGCCCCCGCCGACGAGCCAGTTCTTGTTCGGCTCGATGGACAAGGTGCTCGTATTGTCGACACCTGCGTCGGCATGGGGGGGGGGCAGGAGCAGGAACGAAAGCAAAAGGGGGAGAAAGGGAAGGAGAGAAAGAATAAGAGGAGGAGGAGGACGAGGAGGAGGGGGTAGACCCATATACATCAAAGACTCATCAACGAGGTTGGAATACACCCTCCTCCCTCCAAGCTCCCTCTTCATAAACCGTACAACTATTCATGTCCACTGAAAGAAATGCCCCGCTGCCGGGCAACACTGTGAAAATTCTGAAGCATGCCAAAACACCAATTTCAGGACTTCGACGCCGCGAGTCGACCTGACTGTTGCGCCGCGACGATCCTGAATCTTGCTGGAACACCACTCTTCGTTTTTTCAACACCGCGAATCAATGTAACTGTTGCGTGTTCATAATACTAAACCGTTCCAACACACCACTTGTGGTACGTTAACTATGAGTCAGTCAACGCTTGCAAATGTTGAAAGTGCGCGGCGGTGAAAGCGAGAACCGCATCTTGAAAAACAGCCGCCCTCAATTCGTGACGTTCTTGCAACTGATTGAATCAAATGCACGCGGCGCTAATGCGGGAACAAAAATTTGAAAAGGCGCCGCTTTCAATCCGTGAAACTTCTGCAGCGTGTTAAAACGAATGTGCCCGGTGCGAAGGCGAGAAACACAGTTTCCAAACCACCAGCCCTCAACCCGAGAAGCCATGCGAAATTTGAATTCGAATGCGCGGGGCACTACGGCGAGAACCGCATGATGAAAAGGAAAGGCCCTCAATCCTTGGAAATCTTGCAACATGTTGAAACGACTGTGCGCGGCGCTAAGGCGACAGACACATTTGGAAGCTACCCGCTCTCCATATGTAGAATTGCTGCCAAACTTTAAGCTCGAGGTTCATTGATGATAATGAAGTATCATGCGAAGCGCCCGGCCCCAGCCCGTCCGACTGGCTTCGGGGCGCGACAGGGAGGAGTTATGCATAAGGGAAAGGAACAGAGCAGACGGAGGAGGAGCAGGACGACGAAGACGAGGAGACCCACGCAGGTCAAGGGGAGGTGATAGGGGTGGCTGCGACGCTGGCTGGCGGACGCCGCGCGCCTGACGAGAGGGCACAGGGCGTGCACGGGCGAATGGGGGGGCGCGAGCGACCTCCCAAGTGCCAGAGAAGGCCAGCAGCTCCCCCCCGCGGGATCGCGGAGCTGGCGCTGGCAAAGATACAAAAGAAACCAAAAATGTGAAATGCTTACACAGCCAAGCGAAGCCCTTCTGATGACTATTGGGGGCAGCGCCCCAGCTCGCCAGGTAATACATCTGAAGCGGTGCCAAAGCTCACTGTCGGAATCGGCCCAGAAGCCCCAGTCGTCGCATCACCGTCCGCCGTGCACGACTTGGGGCGACGGAGAATATCCAGCAAGCCTTCAGCGTAGAACCCCCAGAGATGCGCTACATCGCTGAAGAGGTGTCCATCGCTCCTGGGCTCTGCCGCGGCACCGTCAACCAGGGCAGCTCTGTCGGCCGCCCAAAAAGAAAGCAATGTCGTCGTCAGTCCCGCTGAATTGCGGCCTAGCCTCGAGCGCGCCCTCTCGAGGCCCGACGAGCTGTCGAGGAGCACCACGCCACTGCCGAGAGCCGAAGAGACGCCCACAAGGACCAAGAGCAGGTCGAGGAACGACGACTTCTTCCGCAAAATTTCGAGGCCCAACCTTGAAAATGCGGCCAAGTTGCCCAGGAAGCGAGCGAAGAGGGCCACCCCGTGGTCCGGCGCCGAAAACTCGCCCGCGCGGCCGAGGATCTGGGCGAGGGAGGGCGACATCGGCAGGCTCGAGAATACGTGGACTATCAGCACGCACGTCCACGCAAAGTCCAGCGACTCCAGGCCGATCCCCACAAGCTCGAGCAGCATTTCGTGGACTCCCACTACGCCGAACACGACGAGGCTCAGCAGGCGGAGGCCGCGCGGCGGGCGCGCCTCCCATCGACGGCGGCAGAGCGCCACCCGGGGGCAAGACGCATGCGCAGCATCTCCAGGGAGTTCAGCAGGTCCACCTTCTCCACGCCATTCTCCAGCACCAGGAAGACTCCAGCACCCAAGCGCACGCGGCGCGGCAAACCCAGGCCAGACGGCGCTGGCCGGGCAGAAGCGCAGCAGCCAGCGCCCGGGAGCGCCGACCAGGCCCAGGGGGTCGAGCAGCACCGCGCCCTCGGAGCCTCCGCCAAGAAGCCCTGGCGCGAAGGGCAGCGGGCCTTCGGCCGCGCATGGGGCCTCGCCCTCCGCGACCACGTCGGGCGAGCCCCGCGGCCGCAGCGGCGCAGCGATCGCGCTAGCCGCAGCCTGCGCGCGGCGAGCCGAAGCGCAGCGCCCCCCGGCGCGGCGTCGGGCGGCGCCTGGCAGCGAGGCCGCGAAAGAAGCCGGCGCGCGCGCTGTCGCCATCGCGCCAGGCGAGCGCCCGGGGCTGGGCCCCCCCCCCGCGCCCCCGCGGGCAAAATGGCCGCGGGGGGGCGAGGGGGGGCCGCGCGGGGAGCCACCTCGGGCCAAAACGGCCACGGAGGTGATTAAAGGGTGGCGGATGAGGAGGTGGAGGAGGAGCCAGCGCCCCTGACGCGAGCGGGCCGCCTCGCCCGAGGGGCGCGCGGGCGGGCGTCGCGGGGCCGCGAAACTCCGCGTCGAACGCGGAATCGCCGACGAGTTCGCAAGCTTGGGCGACGCCACCTCGAGATCGGAATGGGCGGTCGGCACAAATACAAAAGCGAAACACACAAGGTACGGATATGCTTAAAGATTCCGCCACTGCTTAGGAGAACACTATCCCAACAAACTGTGGCCCCATTCCCGCCAGTCAGGGCCAACTGAGGCGAAATCCCATGGAAAGGACTGGAGGGAGACACGAAGAAGGAACGAGGAGGAGGAAGGGGCAAAACAATGAACTCGCACGACCCCAATCAGTGCGAACAAACTCAAGGTAACAGTGGAAGTTGTCTAATCAGAGCCACCCCGCTCCGACTGGGCAACAGCAGCATTGAGCAAGAGAGGGGGTTGGAGGAAAGGGGTGCAAGAGAGCGACAACTGGGAGCGCACACTCGCCAACGACGGCTACATGATCAACAGAAGCGTCGATGGACACTGCTGTGCCCGGTTGGGCGCGGAGCAGCAGCACAGCGGCTGCAAGGCGAGCCCTGGCCGACAAGGCAGCCCGAGGTCGGCCAGCAGCGGCCGCCAAATCGCGCCCGCGCCAAACCCATGCAAGGCGTGACAGACACCAATTCGAAAGGAGGGAGGGGGGAAGGAGGGGAACGGGGAAGGGGGAAGACGACGCCATGCGCCCCCGCTGCCACCAAGTCTCTGGACGGCCCGGCGAAAACACCAGGCGTCCGCCTGGCGAGGACATGCCGCATCACCCAGCGCCGACTATCAGCCGTCCGCCTGCCGCACTCCAAGTCTGGATCTCCGAATGCCCGAATTCAGAATGGAGCGAGGACGAGACGGGCAGAGGACGCAGAAGGCAGGCCCACCCTTCTAAGACAAGAAAAGGTAGCACGAGCACTGCTTCCGGGAGACAAGGGCGGGAGGAAAGAGACACGAGAAGGGGGGGGGGATGGCGAATCGACTCCGACGGAATCGGCAGACCTAGACTGGACCACGCCAAGAGACAACTGCGATTCGAGACTGGTCCTCCACGCGCGCTGGTTCTATTTCCTTGCGCGGCGGACGGGGGATAAACGCAGGCGACGTTCCACGTTTCATGAATGCGGCCGGTAACCCAACAGCGCGGCGCCTACGAGAACCAGACATTCAAACTTGCACCGATGAGTCCGGGCAAGCTCCCCAAAACGGCCCCCAGCCCCAAGGGAGGAGGGCCCCTGGGGGGAGACGGCGGGCGGACAAATCAACCCCACCCCTCCCCCGCCGGAGCTCTGATTTCAGAACTCCGGTGAGCTTCGCATCAAACTCTGGCGCGTCGGCCAAGCAGCCTGATCAGCCGCGGTTTGCTGCTTCACGAAAAATAAAACGGAGGCAGAGTGAGGGCAAGCGGAAGGAGGAAGGAGGGGGGCGGCTGCGCTCCCACTGGGCGATCCGGCCTCGAAGCGGCCAGCCAGCATCGGCACCGCCTGTCACGAGCGCCGGGGGGCGGCCGCGACGGGGGCCCTCAGGCAGCGCGCCTGCGACCTGCAGCGTCTAGCGCCCTGCGCGCCCGCGGGCGCCCGGCCACGAGGTCGCCGACCGCCTGGTGCAGCGCATCGCGCGCCATCGGCGCCGCGCACGCCGCCGCGTGCCTGCAGCAATTGTGCATTTTGGGGCACGGCGGCTGCGCGCGGCGCCCGGAGGAGCATTGCAGTCGGCGGCTGCATGCGCGGCGGCGCCCCGAGCATCAGGGAGCCCAACAACTGCTCGCCGACGGTGGAAGCCTGCGCCAACCCCGCCCGTCGGAGGGCGAGATCCGCGACGCAACGGCAGGAGGCGCAGTGCTCGATGGAGTCGCCCGCCCCGGCGCAGCCGAAGATGCAGCCAGAGCCCGCCACCTGCTCCATGCGCCGTTTTGTGGACCATCAGTTCCAGAGGGTGCGAAGCATAGCCGCCCAGACTCTCGGTGGAACCAACTTGGCTAAGACCTGCAGCACGGCGTCTGCCCTTTCGCCGAAGACGGCGGGTTCGCCGGGCAGGCGCCGAAGCCGCGCGCGATGGGTCATGCGGGCGCGAAGATAAGCGGAGCGGTCGGTCTCCATGCGCCGACAGATCTCCCGCTGGAATCCTCGGCGAATTGCTGCGTCCACCGTCTGCGTAAACGGGCGGGGCGCTCCGGTTGTGAGAGCGCGTTCAATGGGCGCCCTGGTCGCACCTGCCCGGTTGCACTCAGCAGTCGCCACGTGCAGTTGCGCCACGAATGCCCTGTCGAACCACGTCGCCCAGGTCACCTTGCGAACCAAGTGCTCTGACTCATCTCGCCCAGTTCTGAAGATCGCGAGCACGCTCTGCACTTCGCAAGCCCCCCTGGCTGACAGCCTCGACGTGAGCAGCTCGACACT